TGTGTTTATGGAAAAGATGTAAGATCCCATTTACACCGGGGCAGATGCGTTTCAGCGCAAATTTTTAAAAGGGCGATTTTTGAGTGTTTTTGTTTGCGTTTCAGCGCTGAACCGCAAATAAAAACACGCTGATCAGCTTGTTTCCCTTTAAATCTGTATGGATCAGGGAGCATTTCGGGCGGCAGGTGGTTCGAATAGCGCGGAGCCGCATGAACGGTCCCCGTAGGAATGTATAGGATCATTCATGTCGGTGGTTCAGCGCAGACAAATCCGTGTGATCAAACCGCCCTGGTGTGAACGGGGCCTTGCTGTGTTTCAGAAGGGTGAAATTACTGGCCTCCATCAAGCAAAGAAAACCACAAAGGAAATTGCTGAAACGACTAAAATTGGGTTAAGAATTGTCCAATGCATCATTAAAACCTGGAAGGATAGTGGAACCATCATCTTCCAGAAAGAAATGTAGTCAGGAAAAAATCTTGAATGTACGTGATCAGAGATCAGTTAAAACGTTTGGTGAAATCAAATCATAAAAAATCAACAGTAGAACTCACGGCTATGTTTAATAGTGCAAGTAAAATCATTTCCACACATACAATGAGAAGAGAACTCCGAGGATTGGGACTAAACAGCTGCGTAGCCTTAAGAAAAACCACTCATCAGTGAGACTTAATCGGTAAAAAAAGGCTTCAGTTTTCTAGTGAGTATAAAAATTGGATTCCTGAGCAATGGAAAAAGGTCATGTCGCCTGATGAATCCAGATTTATTCTGTTCCAGAGTGATGGGCGGATCATGGTAAGAAGAGAGGCAGATGAAGTCATGCACCCATCATGCCTAGTGCCTACCATACAAGCCTGTGGGGGCAATGTTATGATCTGGGGTTGCCTCAGTTGGTCAAGTCTAGGTTTAGCAACATTGTGTACCCAAAAAATGAGAAAAATGAGGTCAGCTGCCTACCTGAATATACTGATTGAACAGATTTATCCATCAGTAGATTTTTTTTTTTCTTCCCTGATGGCACATTGGGCATATTCCAAGATCATAATGCCAGGATTCATTGGGCTCCAATTGTAAAAGGGTGGTTCAGGGAGCATGATAACTCATTTTGACACATGGATTGGCCACCACAGAGTCCAGATCTAACCACATTGAGAATCTTTGGGATGTGCTGAGGAAGACTTTATGCAGTGGTCTGACTCTCCTATCATCACTACCAGATCTTGGTAAAAATGAATGCAACTCTGGATGAAAATACATGTTGTGACATTGGTTAAGTTTATTGAAATGATGCCAGGGCAAATGTGTGCCATAATCATGCCTAAAGTCTGTCCAATGAAATATTAGAGTGCATGACCTTTTTTTTTTTTTTTTGGGCCAGGCAGTGCATATTGCCCACTTAGGGAGTGCATTGGTTTCAATAGTTTGGCCAAACCATAGACTTGCATTGCAAAGGAGCAGTATAGTACAACCACTGTGTAACATTGTATCACCTTGTTTAAAAATTAAATGCTGTTTTTTAAAAAGTATTACTAACGTTGTGATGTCATCTCATTGCTCACGAAGGCTATATTGTGGCTTTAGTTACAGATTGCATAGCCTATGTTCCTGAAGTGAGACTCCATGGCCCTGATTCCTCAAGCTTCAGTGGCACTTAAGATGTGCGGCATAGCTTATTCTTATTTGCTCCCTTTTCTCCTAGCTATGTCATTGAATGTTTTTGTTATATCGGTCTATATTCTATAAAGGCAAAAAATACCTGTTGGGTTTGCCAGAAATATATGCTAATACCTTCGGTGCTGTCTGCTTTGCATAAGGAAGAGTCATGAAGATGGGGAAGAGATGAGGAAAGGTCTGTGTTCTTTGTTATTCGTCAGTAATTAAGTAGGCAGGGATGGCACCAAGTGCTTTGAACTTCAGAGCAGAAAATACACTGAAGGGAATTTATCGAAACTGGAGCAGTTGCCCATGGCAACCAATCAGCATCTCTCTTGGGATGCTAAAATGAGAGAGAGAAGCTGATTGGCTGCAGTGCAAATCTGCTCCAGATTTTGTCTGCGCCAGTTTTGATAGATTCCCCCCAGTGTGTTGTCATGTAAAAAAGGAAGGTAGTTTCAAACCATATTTCTTGCACATCTACAGGTATTTTTCTGTGCTGTCAATGTTTTTAATGGCATAAAACACGGGAACATGTGCATGTATTTCATAGATGTGCAATTTTTTTTTTTAAATTAATTATTATACAGTACATAATTTACATTGCGGCAACAGTTTGCACAGCTCGATCAAATATAAAGGAAGACCATACAGTTACAGAACAATTCAGAACAAGAGGGTTAGGAGGGCCTTGCTCGTGAGAGCTCACAGTCTGAAAGGGAAGGGCAAGTGATACAGAAAGGTAATAACTGTGTTGGGATGAGTTGATGGAAAAAGTAAAATTTCATTTGTCAGGCTTCCATGAAGAGATGTGTTTTCAGAGACCGCAAAAAAGGCAGACAAAGTAGGAGATAGCCTAATGCAATTTTTTTAAGTCTCTCCTCAGTGCTAAATAAACACAGACCAGGGATGTCCATTAATACTGGGCAACACCCTTGGTTTTTAGCTTTAAAAGGATTACTAGGACATTAACCTGCTGTATGCTTTTATTATATATTTATTATATATGTAATAACCTGATCCTCTGCTCATGAGAGATAATAGGGCTCTATTATAGCAGTAGTTTTCATGCATTCCTTACTCGGCTCGCCACCATCAGCCTCCTAATGTGCCCGAAAAGTCTTCGTTAGGACCTTCCATTGCATTTAAATCATTGCATATCTCCAGCTCTTATTACCTATAAAAAATATGAAATTGCCCATTTCCCTAATCTACCTCTGATGTTCTGTTTATTTGTTTGTCTTTTCCCATTGTGTTGTGCTCTGCTGCAGTGGCCACTCATTACTTAAAAGGGTATTTATATCGTGACTTGCAGCTCGGTGCTAAACACAAAAATTGCTTTTGCCTCATTTGGATGCAGCCGGTGTCGGAGTGACTCGGAAGCAGCAAAGATAAGACATCCGAGCTTTGTTTTTGTATTTTTTACTCCTTTTTTTTTATTTATTATTATTATTACCGAGCAGCTTCATAGCATGTGAGATTGCTGAAAGGTATATTTGCTTCAGGGGAACATACACTTTACTGTTCTTCAAAAGGCACTCTGCTGTTTGACATTCATATGCCATTCTATCAGGGAACGCACTTCTCTGATTTTCCATCTTCGTACTGACTCTAGAAACATACGCAGCCTTTGATCACCACAAAATGTCTTAAAAACTTAATTGGTTCCATTTTCTGTAAGTAGAAGAAAAGAGAATTGAAATGCCTTATAAAATGGGGTTAGAACAATATGGATAACAAAAAAATTAATTACAATACTTAGTTAAGAAAAAACAAACCCAATATGCTTTTATTTAATATAGAAGAAACCCAAGCTGATCGCTGCTAAATAAGTATAGCTGTGGGGTCTGCGAAGACCCTTAGCTGCTTCATTTGCTTTTTAGTGTGTTTTTAATCAAGGTTGGCTGCCCAGTGTGTCCTCGTAAACCGTGAGAGCTTGTTATTATGGTTTTACGATTTTAGTGATGCATCACATCACTTGACTCCACAGCACTCGCTTTGCCTTGGTAAAAAGACACAGTATTTGTTGTTTGGATGTTTTATAATTATTGTTGTCAGACTTTTTTTCCCCTCTGGGTGGCCTTAAATCTTCTCATTTGCTTGTTTGTTAAGTACAATAGATAAAAGGAAGCTGAATTTTTTAAAAAAAACCTTGCTACCTAAAATGAACCTGTGCCCTGGCCATGCTGGGCAAGGCAGCAACTTTTTATTTTGAAAGTTTTAGTTTCCATTTTAATAAAGTAGTACACAGTTGCATCAGATGTTCCTGGACAACAAAACCAGGGCGAGTAAGTACAGAGACAAGACAATGAGAAACATACAGGCAAGCACTCATACACACAATCGTATACTATACTCCCTCCCCCTCAACCCATTATTACTATACAGGATTTATATAGCGCCAACAGTTTTACAAAGGAAATTTATTCATTAATACAAAGCCTGCCGTGATTGACTCCACGCGGTATATTGTATGTAGGCGATTTTCGGGGGAAGTTTTATGGTCTCAAAACCCGTCTTATACGCCAGCAAATACGGTATTAATTTAGGTTTACACAGCCAAATACAGCAAGGTGAGCCAGGAGGGGAGAGAGAGAGGAGCGACCGCCAGGAAAGAGAGAGCAAAGAAAGACAGCCAGGAGAAAAAGTAAGGAATGACAGCCAGGAGAGAGCGAGGATAGACAGCCAGGAGGATGAGCAGGGAGGGACAGCCAGGAGGATGAGCAAGGAGAGCCAAGGGAGGTTTTTTTTTTTCGTTGGTAGATCTCATGTAGCTTGTCGTTTTGAAAAGTAGATCTTAACACAAAAATTGTGGGCACCCCTGACCTAAACGCTTGCATCATACCAAAAATATAATCATCAATTTAAGGTGAAATTCCCTTTTAAATTCCCTTTTAAGGCCTGTTTTATACTGCCGCGTTCTTACTACTGGGCTGCATAATGGATCTAATGAAATGACCTTGTTAGTAAATCTGAATAGGTTCAGCTTCACTTCCCTGGAAATAGTTTGTGCTACATTGTTAGCCGTTTCTATCTGAAGCTCACACATCGTTTTATTGATTTATTTACTTATCTTTAGGTGTCTGTTTGGTTTATTTGTGAATAAATACACCGGGTTGAATTTATCAAAACTGGAGCCGACAAAATCTGGAGCAGTTGCCCAATGCAACCAATCAGCTTCTCTCTTCAGTTTGTTCAGTTAAAAGATTTGAAAATGAGAGAGAGAAGCTGGTTGCAATGCACAGCTGCTCCAGGTTTTGATCAATTCCCCTCACTGTATACTGACATGATAATAGAAAGATATGGCCTATGATGTTCTCGGGCTTTACCATGTTTGTGTTTTCCTGCAGAATATCGTGGCAGTCGGTGCAGGATTTTGCGATGGGCTTGAGTGTGGAGACAACACCAAAGCTGCAGTTATTCGTTTAGGACTAATGGAAATGATTGCATTCGCCAAAATCTTCTGTAAAGGCCGCGTGTCGACCGCCACATTCCTTGAAAGCTGCGGAGTTGCTGATCTCATTACGACTTGTTACGGAGGACGCAACAGGAAAGTTGCTGAGGCATTTGTGAAAACTGGCCAGGTATTTTCAGCAGCCATTTTGACTATGAATTTAAAGCTGTGGACCATTTACACCTAAAGTAGTAGTAGTAGTAAACTAGCAAACCTTTTTTATAAGGAATCCAGATCAAACAAATATACATTGCCCAGCAAAGCATTTCTTGATATTTTCCCCCAAGCACTTACAGTCGTCATGTTTCCAAACTGCTTGCTCCAGCTCTATTAGATCTACTTCCCTGAACTTCCTTTACAGTTTTTAACTTTTTTTTTTACACTTAATGTTATTGCTATCACATAGGGGGGTTATCACATAGGGGGATAACAATCTCCCTATATACAGTAATAGCAAAGGCACACTGACAGGTCCTCTTTATGGAGACATCAGGGGTCTCTAAGACCCCTAATGTCACCTGGGGACCCCAAAAGAAGCTGATGAAGCAGAGATCTGCTTCATCAGCTTCTTCTCTCTGGCTTTATCAGCCAGAGGAATGACAGGTGAATGCGGAAGTGATGTAATACACATCACTTCTGCATTCACAGTACGGAGGGAGATCAGCAAGGAGGAAGATGCTGTTCTCCCTCTCATCTTCCCCCTGACACCCTCCTGAGCCGGTCCCGGGCAGCGGATCCCGGGATTGAAGGTTAAGGTGCAGGAGGGGGGGGTGGCGGGACAGCAACGGGCCAGAGATGGTGGCACTAGAGGGGGGGGGGGGGCGGGCGCTTGCAGGCAGCACATACAAGCGATCGGCAGGCTATAGAGCCGCTGATCGCTTATATGTGAAACAACCGGTAACGGCTGTTTACAATGGACGGGTTTTTTCTGCCCGTGCGCGCACCCAACGAGCAGAAAAAAGTCCTCTATTTACGGCAACCCGCCAATGTGAGTTTGCCATCCGTCCGTTTCTTCACAGCGGGCGGACGGCAAGCGGTTAAACTCAAAATATTTTTAAGCTGTTTCAAATGCTGATTGAGTTGCTTACAATGAAAGCTGTTCTTTGAGGTTTAAAAGTTTTTTAGTTTCCTGCAGAATCAGCTGCATCCCTGAACACTGGCTCTGATATCCTGTTTGGCTATCTTGCAGGGTCCTATGGAGCCACCCTTGGAGGCTCCATAGAAGGCTGTGTGCGTCTCCACAGCATAGCAAGCCATTCCACTCCCCTGCTCCTTTTTGCTGTCTCATTTCTTATCCCTTCTCCAAGCTAGTAGATGGACAGCTGCTGGGGACTGCTATCTCCCTTGTGATCTTGTACTGGATAGGAAGTTCAGGGAATGGCCACAATGGAATATGGCCACAAGATGGAGCTGAGGAGCATCAAAAATACTTATTTTTTATGCTTCTAAGTGCTATCTAATGGTCATAATGCAGTAATAAATTATACTAAGAACATACGTTTTTGCCTTTATTCGCACAGAGTGAATGATTTTGCAGATTTAGCTATAATTTCGCGCTGAATTTGCTAGAGGGCCAGACCATTATAAATAGGGAAGCAGGTTGTTTACCACAACAGTAGAAGTGATTATTTTCTGAAGATACGGGTAAACAACACGATTTAACAGCCTTTGAACGTGGGATGATTGTTGGCGCTCGGAGCCATGGAGCGAGTATCAGCAAAACAGCAGAATTTGTTAAATGTTCAAGAGTAGCTGTTGTTAAAGTGTTTAAAGACTGGACTGTCAGACGAAAATCTGGGTCTGAACGTGCGAATTGTGGCCGTCAGCGACTAGTCAATGTTAGGGCAGAACGGAGAGTGGCAAGACTGGTACAAGACAAAAGAAGGGCAACAGTGCAGTGTCAGATTCCTCGCATCACCTTTCAACATCTCGCGGAGTTGATGGATTACTAATAAGTATCTTTTAATAAATTCTGTTTCCACAGAAGCAGGGTCCTATGTATTTGCTGAATTGAATAAAGCCTTTAAAATGTTGCCTGGGTTTGTCAGAACCCCCCTGTATTCTGTGTTTGTAAACTCACAGCTTGCTGCACACAATCATTTTGCATAGCTCTGCATGTGTTACCCAACTGTGTATTGCTACTGGAGAGATTCATCTACCGTGTGCAGTCACTGCAATATCTCCCCCGGGATGACACATTTGTTTGGCTGAGGTGTATCAAAGCCTTCCAGCTGACAAGTTTGTAGAGAAAGGAACAGCCCTTGGTAACATGAACCAATAATTTTCTTCATGTTCAGTTCTATTTCTACATTTTATATTTAAATGTATACAGAAACTTTTTATTGTGAGCGCCTGCAATTGTAATAACGTGTGTTCTTTGCTGCAGAGTATTGAAGAACTCGAGAAGGAGATGCTTAATGGCCAGAAACTTCAGGGCCCTCAGACCTCCGCAGAAGTCTACCGCATCCTCCAGCAGAAAGGCATGGTAGACAAGTGAGTGCTTTTTCACTTTTATTAGTCGAACTTTCAGCAAATAGAGATGGCACTCTATACAAAGGACTGTGTGGTGTTTCTTTTGTGTTTACCCGATAAAAGAAAGCATTTTAAAAACCCGAGTTCTGAATAGCTCATACAAATGAAACATAGCTGGAGAGCAGGCATTGTTACAGATAAAATATTGCTTTCATTATCATGAAAGTGGGTCGTGAACGATGATGACCGTGACTTGCCAGAGGGCCTGTTCACATGGCAGTTCAGGACTCCCACCTTCCCAAATAATCTTCTAAAGGAACGGAGGACAGGCAGGTGCCGCGTATGGTAGAATAGAGCACTGTAATCTTTGCTAAAATGTCATCTCTGTCCCCACCAATGTAAAAAAGTTACAAAAAAGCTGGACACACTGCACCCTTTTCTATTGTGATTTGTATAAAGCTTTGTAGGAACATATAATATGTATTTACAAAGAAACCTTCATGGGGGTGGTGGCGAGGCAGGTTACAACCTAAACCATCATTCACTCTTCTGCCTAATTAGACCGAGCCTGGGTAAAGTCTAAGCAGCATGGTCTAGGACAGGGGTACTCCAACTGTGGGGAAACAGACGTTTCTGGGAGTCATGTTTGTGGATTTCTTGTAATGTCTCATGGGACTTGTAGTTCCACAAGAGTCCTGAAGTTGCCTACCCCTGGTCTAGAAAGTAGATGTAGGCATTGAAGCACCGTCAACGCAGCAGTTGAAAATCAAATCAATAGGAAAAAATTGCAGAAAATTCAAAAATGGCTTGGCCAGCTGATTTGAAAAATGTTCCGGAGGGCTTGGCAGCGAAAGGGTTAAAATAGTCTAGATACAACTTTAATCCATTAGGATCAGGGGGCGTTCAAGTAGAGTAGCCAGCGTGCTTCAGGAATCCAAAACACGCCCCCTCAGGGTTTAATGAGCGCATTCAGGTATGTGGACTACAATCCCTGCAGCTTGAAAGTTGTATTGAGTTGTGTGATGGGAGGATTTAGGCTTGTCAGTAGCTGGTATGGCAGCCCACCCCTGGTCTAGAACATTGCTATGGAAGCAATACCGACAGAAAGATAATGATTTTCCCAGCTGCAGGTATTCATAAGCCATGATGGGTAAGTCAAGGAAAGCTTGTATGTCAAACAAACTCCTAGCAGACAAACAAACTCATAGCAGACAATGAGCAGAGTAAAGAAACAGCCATGCAGGACATGTCTGGAAAGTAATGAATAGTGAGGATTGTAGTATAGAAACGCATCCAAACAAGGGCTGAGGCATGGCTCCTGAGGATTCTACATTATATCATTGCATGGTACTGCATATGCTCAATATGTGTGGCTGTTTAATCTAACACAGAGCATATCATAAGATGCTGGTACAGAGGAGATGTCCTCCGCAACAGAGAGTTACTGATGACTTTTCAGCTCCCTGTGAATTGTAGACTTACATGAAAACACCTCATACAAAGGTTAAATAGAAACGCACGCAGTGCAGGTCAGTGGGGACTGCCATTCAGCTCAGTACAAAGTCATCCTATATCAGTAGTCTGCCTAACTACAAAGTCACATCTGTGGTCTACCAAACCAGTCTAAAACACGTCATAGAAATGAAGTGCACACTCTCAAAGTGCTTCTAATACAAATGCAGCTCAACATCCACAGAAAAAATAACGAAGCATGCGCTGCGGCTTTAAACAGACAGCATTTTCTCTTAATTCCACATGATAGCCATAGATCTCAATCATAAAGTACAAAAACATTTTGTATTGTACTCGCAAAGCTGGGAGATGACTATAAGAAGCAGGGAGACAGGAAAGTTAATAAATGCACATGAGTATTCAGCCCGAACCTGAGCTCCTCAAGAAGTGCCATGGGCCACCCCCAATCAGCTGCAGACCAGGGCGTTCCTCACCTAACAGCTGTGCCCAAACAGAGGGGCAGGGTGCTTGTGCTTACAATATTGAACTTTATATGGCCATATAAGGTCAATCTCTTTGACCAAATGTGGCCATATAAGGTCAGTGACATCACTGCATTTTGTTTACGTGCAGCTGCGGTGGGGAATCCTCAGGTTGCAGCTGATTGGGCCGTGTTGGAAGGAGTTCAGATTCGGATAGGGTTTGGTCAAAACATGAGCTCAGTCCTGGAGTACAGTATATGTTTCCTTGCAGTATGGGAACCACAGAAGATGCATATTTTCATCTGCTTAGTTCACATTCTACCATTGTGAAGAACCAGCTGTATGTGTTGTATTTAGTGTGGTTAGTGTGACATCATCTGAACAACCCCTTTCACCACAGTGATGACTCCCCTTCTCTGCTATACAAGTCTGTGTGATAAAGCTTGTGCTGAGGCTTGTGGCTGTTACTCAGCTATGCCAGCACAGGGCTCTGCAGTCTGAGGGCTGAAGAAAATATATTTAATAGAATTTCCTAACAAAGATCTTTCACAAATCTTAACACGTGGGGCTATAAAGAGATCTAAAAAGGTGTGAGACCTCAGTAGGGCCATAATGAGAAAACAAAATCCTTTTCATTTTTTTTTTTCTGATTTATATTTGTTTCTTTCGCCTCCAGATTTCCACTTTTCACTGCTGTTTATCGAATTTGTTATGAGAAGAAACCTGTGGAAGAAGTAATTTCTTGCTTACAGAGTCACCCAGAACATATGTAACTTGGGGACAAATGTCTTCAACGTGACAAGTCGTTTTTGTTTTGTTCTTGTTTATGCTGCAGAATCCTGGAGGAAATGCTCTACTAACGCACAAAGCCATGAATGTGTAAAGTATGTTTAATATCATTTGCTTTGGTTCTGGTTGCTGTCTGGTACACTCGTGGATGCACAAATATTTCCATTCCCCTTTTTTTCGTAATGGCCAATCGTGGACATCTGTGGAATCTGTGAGAGAGAATGTTGTGGGCGAATGTTTAATCATGACATAAAAGGCTGATTATATGTCAGTCCAGCAAATGCTGTAAGTGGTATTACTATGGGCAGCTAAGGCCTGTACTAAGGGCAGAAGCCTGTATCAAGGAACAACTTGGGTTCAAATTTGTATAGACCCTTGCAGTGGGGCAACCCCCAGACTGCAAGGATCAAGTGCTCGTTTTTGCCTTGGGTCAAAAATAACCACATTATACTCGCCTGATTCTATAAGCTGGCTGGCTGCGACACTGCTGCCTTCAGCCACTCATCCTATGCTGCAGCGATGGTATGTTCCTCGGCATCCTCACATCCTATACAATGTAATGACTCGGAGGACCTTAGACTTCTGGAGAGGTGGGGGGAGGCTCCAGGCCTGGTCTAAGAGGCAGTCGGCTTGGAGGATCAGGTGAGTATATCTTTTTTGTCTTTCCCTAGGCAAAAGCAAGCACCTAACCCTTGGACTGTGGGGGTAGCCCCACTGTAGGCATTAATACAAATTTTAACCAGAGTTCTGCTTTAAGGGAAGAGGCCTGTACTATGGGGAAAGGCCTGTATTAAGGAGAGAGGCCTGTTTTAGGCCCTTTTCACACAGGTGGCATCCATTCCGATCAGCATGGATCCCTTGCTGATCGGAGCAGTACAGAACAGATGTCACTCTTGTGACATCCATGTCTGTCCAGTTTCCTCTCCATCTTGTGATGGAGGAATAAACTGAACTAACCGGACCCATGTTAGGTCTATGGGGAGTCGCATGTAAGCAAACAAGTGTCTGTTTACATCGGATTACCTCTGATCCACCCTGTTGTTTTTGGTTTTATTTGTGGACCTAGATGGACTTTGATGTAAACGCAGGTCCATATAGATCCGGCTGCCCATAGACTAGAATTGAGCTTCTGATCAGTTCCACCTGGAAAAAACTGACCAACGACCCTGACCGGAACACCGTGTGAAAGGAGCCTTAAGGGAAGGTGCCTTAGCTGACAGCCTGCAGAATGTTATTCTCATACAGCTCATGACTGGAAGTATACTACTTTCTCTGAAAGGGAGTGAATCTTTATAATCTATTTGTATGCCATTACCTACATGCTGCTTTCATTGTAAGGCTGGCCGCCTTGTGCTCCGAGGTACCAGCTAGACACTGTTACACAGTGCAATTATATCAGTTGTTTATTATATCAGCTTGGTGTTGTCACCTTTGGTTACTACAAGGTAAATGATTTCATATTTTTGATAGCTTTTTTTTTTTTACCCCACTTGTTACATTAGGCAAATCCTTTCTACTAGAAGGGCAGCTTATGTGGTATTCCTATTTTATGTGTGCATCTTTTAAACATGTATCCTCTATTGTAATGGTTTTAGCATTGATGCATATTTTAAAAAGTTACTACTGTTCGGTGCTTTGCAATGGGGGAATTCTAATACTGTGCCATTCCGCAATTTATTAGGCAGCACATGCTGTATATTGTAAAAGAGATTTACCGTCACACTAATAAACCATTCAACAACTATTTCGTCAGTGTGAAAAGAAAAAAAAATGTCTTACCTTTTTATGCGTCTTAGCTAATATTCCTTCAGATTCCTGATCTTGTCTATAAATGGGGTGAAATCTTTTTACAATTAGTCCCCCAATGGGTTGTCCAAAATGTTCCCATATTTCCTCTTCCAGACTGTCTGTCATTATTTTAGATGTAAACATTGAAGCACCACACTAATGAAAATAGTCCGGATACAACTTTATTCCACTTGACTCAAAGGATTACACCGCTTCCAAAGGGAAACCACAGTTCCTTAGTCATCACAATACAAGATATGCATCCAATAGAATCATAGTTATTATTCCCTAAACTGTGGTTTCCCTTTAAATACTGTTTACCCTTTAATGCAGACAGACAAGATTAAATGCACCTGATCTTGTGTATGTGTGCAGCCTACCCAGGTCAACCCCTAACTCTACAATTAAGCCCCGGATGGGGTGAAACACGTTACAGGGGTGGACCTGAGGGGGGATTTTGTGTAACTGTGAATTCCATAAAAAAGTTTCCAGCGACATATGGAGTGCGGCCGGATGTTTTATTGTTTATTCCACTAGAGTCAGAGGACAATTGAGTAAAATAGCCAATGTGTTTTGGGGGTCCAAAAACATCCCGTTCATCAACGCTTATTGTGGACCTGTACCCATATCTTTTAAAATAACAGCAAACACACCTTTAGAAATGTTTAGTAATGACAATCTACAAACATATACTTCTAGATAATTGCCGGCTTTGTATTCTTTGCATACATTGTTTCTCTTTTCTTTCCCAGTCTTCTGGCAGTGGCCATGTTTACTAAAGGCAGATTACTAGCTCTCCTATTACTTCCTGATTTCTGGCACATGTGGCTAGGACATGTGACCATGCACATCATCTCATGAGGAAAATTCCCTGAGATCTCCTGAGATTACAGATGAGATTTTCCAGCAATGCTCTGCTGATGACAGGACAATCCCAGTGTGCGTTGCGTTGGCAAACTGCATAATTTTGCCCTTTCAAAGCAGGAAGTGAATGCTCTGCAAGTGTGTTTTCATAATCACAGCATTTTACACCTGACATGTCTACGAAATTAATAATCATCATACATAGAGGGCTGTATTGGTAGAATTTTTGGGTGGAAAGGTCCACTTTAATGAGAGAAATCCTGTATATGGACTACAATCCCTGCAGCTTGAAATTTTGTAGTGAGTTGTGATGGGAGGACTTCAGGCTTGTCAGCAGCTAGTTTGGCAGCCTATCATCATCTTACCAGTCCTAATAGGTACCAGTATAACAGTATAAAGATGTGAACAGTTTGCTTTTACTTTACATGTGTTAATATATAAAGCAGGCAATGCTTGAATGTTGTAACCTCACCATGCACATAGAGGGACGCACACACGACACCAGGAAGTGGTGCCATTACCACATATGATTGTACACTGGAGTTCCCTTGTGCTGGGTAGTAGCACATGCTTAGGTGTTTTTTTTAAATCATTTTACTAAAGAAAAACATAATTGTTTGGACAATGAAGAATTTCCCCTTTTCTATACAGTAACGGGGGCATTAGATGTAAAGGCATCTGCAGGTGCCCTTGCTCCCGTGAAGTGAGAATAACTGCTGTATATTGTCCTTATTTAAAGCAAAACTACGGGCACAAATTTTATTAACGCTTGTGAGTGTTCCTTTTAAATAAGGTGTCAATAGTAGAAGGTAAGTTTGTCTCCTGTGGGGTGTTTGTGGTGGGGGGGGGCTATTTTTATTGTAAAAATGTAAGAGAATCTGTTCCAGGTTGCACTACACAGCACTTCTGTGGACAATCATTGAGGGGAATTCTGCAAAACTGGAGCAGTTGTCCATGGCAACCAATCAGCTTCCATCTTTAATTTTCAAAGCTTAACTGAACAAACTAAAGAGAGAAGCTGATTGGTTACTATGAGCAATTGCTTCAGATTCTGCCTGCTCCAGTTTTGCAGAATTCCCCACATTGTGTGATATTTGCACTTCTCCGCACAGTTTTCCTTCGGGACATGGTTGTGGTGGAATTTTGAAGTTGAGCTGATATTATGAATTTTTGCACATAATATGATTTACTGCATATTAAATGTTTTTCATATCTGTATAATTATAGTGTTGGCATAGGGAGAGGGGAGCACTGTTTGTTGTTTTTCCTAGCTACATATGGATAGCTAGGAAAAACATAATTTTGTATTTATATAAAAATGGCAAACCACAAATAATATAAGCTAGCTACAACTAGTGAAATGTTTCCTGATTTTTTTTATTTTATTTAAGTTTGTTTATTTTTGCATGCAAAACATGGACTCGAGGTATAGTTACTGACAAGATTATCGGCTTATCATCTGACACATGAAAGTATAACTAAAGCCAAAAGTTGTATTTTCGGTTTGGATAGAGTAGGGATAATTAAAATCCCTGTCAGTTTTTTTTACTATCAATGTCCCAATGGGGAGTTTCTCTTCGCTTCCTGTCCGGTAGCCAAAACAGGAAGAAAGAGAATCTACAGTCTCCAAAGTGAGGGAAATCCAATAAGATGTTACTTAATTTATTGTCCCCATTGGAAGATTTCCCCTCTATTCCTGTTATGGTAGCAACTCAAAATTTAGGATTTTCTCTTTATTCAATCTTAGGGGCTGAATAAAAGCTTTGCACAACGTATAACTGAGTGAATACCATTTGCATGGCATTACGGCTGCTAGATGGCGCCAATGAGCATAGAAAATTCTTATGCTCCTGGAGCTCCATCCTACAGTTGTTAATGTTGTGCAAACAGGATACTCCCAGCTAGACGCTATGTGAGGTTTTTATTTATCAGCCACCAGCAGCTATAAGAAAAAGAAAACCTGGCGGGTTCTAACCCCTCTCCACTCTTTCCAACACAGTTTTGACTTCAGATACTCAATTTGTCTATGTTGATTTTAGGTTCAATAATGCAGAGGATCCTGTTACATTTTTTTTAATTATTCAAAGATCCAGCTCCATACCCCAATTTAGTCCTAGTACCCCCAGGAGATATAGAGACCCCTGGTCGAGAACCCCTGCTATAAACCATATGTCCAAAGACATGCTGGGTATGGTAATCGGTTCCTGTCTAAATTTGCCCTTGTATATATGCATGTGAGATAGGGACCTTAGATTGTAAGCTCCTTGAGGGCGGGGACTGATGTGATTGTAAAGCGCTGCGTAAATTGTCGGCGCTATATAAATATACGTACTTTCTAGCCCAACCAACGCCGTGCAATAGTTCTGCAATATGCAGCAAGCTTGTGAATAAATTGTAAATGGGTGGAGAGTCCTAAGCTGTGCTAGCTGTCCTGTAAGATGTTTACATCATTAAGTACTCTATATGAAGTCAGTTATAGTGGACACATACTCCGAGGGCAGTACAAGCTCACCGAATTCCTTGC